TCCGTTCGGATCTTGCTGGCATACGCTGCTCACAATAATTTCGAAGTTTTTTAAATGGACGTCAAATGTGCATTCTTGAATGGAGAACTAGAAGAGACAGTGTACATTGAGCAACCACTTGGGTTTGTAAACGAGAAGTTTCCCAATCATTGCTACATTCTGGACAAGGCTGATTACGGTCTGAAGCAAGCACCGAGAGCCTGGTATGAAACACTAACTCGTTTTCTAAAAATGTCTAAATTCAAACAAGGTTCAGTTGACCCAACCTTCTTTCGCAAGAAAGAGGGTGGACACCTAATGATTGTCCAAATTTATGTCGATGACATCATCTTCGGTTCCATGAATCCTAGCTTAACAACTGAATTCCGGAAGTTGATGGAGACTAAGTTTGAGATGAGCTCAATGGGTCCAATTAACTTTTTCCTTGGACCGAACATAAGACAGGGACCCGAAGGCATTTTCATCAATCAGGAGGCCTACACAAAGACTCTACTGGCCAAGTTCGGTATGATGGGAGATTCTAAAGTAAAGGTTCCAATGGCATTCGGAACGAAGCTGACACCATCTCTGGAGAAACCGGCTGCTGATATGACACTCTATCGCCAAATGATAGGGTCTCTAATGTATCTAACTAATAGTAGACCAGATATTATGTTTTCTATCTGCTATTGTGCCAGGTTCCAGGCTAATCCACGCAAACCTCATATGGTGGCTGTGAAAAATATCTTCAGATATTTGAAGAGAACCTCGTCTCTCGGTCTTTGGTACCTAGTAAAAACTGGCTTCTTTGTTCAAGCATTTTCTGAGGCCGATCTAGGAGGATGTGGGTTAGACCGAAAGAGCACAACTGGCGGATGTCAATTCCTTGATGGAAAACTCGTTAGCTGGCAATCCAAGAAGTAAACATGTGTGTCTCTTTCTACGGCCGAAGCTGAGTATATTGCTGCAACATCTTACACATCTCAGGTCATATGGATACAAAGTCAACTAAGAGACTATGGCCTGAACATGAAGAAGATTCCTCTCTATTGTGACTCAGAAAGCGCTATCAGGATATGTCACAACCCAGTGCAACACTCCAAAACGAAACATATAACACTAAGATACCACTTCATCAAGGATCACGTTGAAGATGGTAACGTGGAGATTCATTTTTTTCGATCCGCTGACCAATTAACTGGCATTTTCACTAAATCTTTACCAGAATCAAGCTTCAATAAAATACTCCAAGGCTTAGGAATGATGGAAGCTGAATCAGTACCGAAACACTTTTCGCCTCATTAAAATTGGGCAAGCGAAATAGAGCGAACACTCGGTCTATTTCGGTTCCGTATTTTTCAGGAACCGAAATGAACCGAACGCTCGGTCCATTTCGCTTCATCTCTCCAAAGATAAAGTTTCGGTTGTATACTTTTTGTACACTATGTCTTTCTTTTCATTTTTTTTAAATCCAAAAATATTTTTCTTTTCTGTTTTTATTTCTTTTCAGAAAAATTCATAAAATCCAAAAATATTTTTCTTTTCTGTTTTTATTTCTTTTCAGAAAATTCATAAAGTCCAAAAATATTTTCTTTTCATTATCTTTCAGTCAAATCAAAATAATTCAAAATATTTTATTTCTTGTTTAGTTTTCTTCATTTTTCTTTTTCTCAAATAAAATCAAACATCAAAAATATCACACTGAAAGGACTCATGGGCGACTCCAATGATGGAGCTGAGGCAGGTATAACACTCCTTAACTTTGTACTAGCTAAGTGTCCCTAGAAGCATGATGCTGTATGTTGTCCAAAGCATCAAGGACTTCAAGTGAAGCCTTACTGACTCGATATAAACAAATCGATTCTTCCCAACTAGGCTGACAAAATCACTTAAGTCACGAGCTACCTGACTCTTCTCATATTGAGTTACGAGTTCACTACTACGTCACTTTCGCTTAGCAGACGTACTTTCGGTTTCTTAACCATCTCTAACATCTTTCTCCATCATACTTCAATTTCATTCTCGTAACCCTTGAGACTCTCAGAATATACCACTGAGGTTTACGGTTACACAACATTTGCGTTAATGATCTTAGTTTCGTTTCACCACGTGCTAAGTGAAACCCAAAATCCAACACCTACAATGAATTGACGGTGAACAATCAAATGTTCTAGCTTTCACCCAAGTATCAACAAAACCACTTTAGTGAGAGGTACCAAGAAATCTCTTTTTATTTTTGAGTGATCTTTATGAAATTGTCTAATACCAAGACTTTTCTAGCCAAAAGATCCAGTTTAATTTTGTTTTTGAGATTTCTACAAAATCACCAAGTCACTGAAAATTGTTCAAACCTACTTGTTTTATAGGCCACATTGGTCTCACAAGTACTTCATCTCACTTTCGGTCTTATATCAAGCTCTGTAATGAGATTGAAGCGAAAGCCACCCTAAGGACCTTTTAATTAAAAGATGCCTTTCTTTGCTTCTTAATAAGCACTTGATCGTATTTTAACGGGAAACCACACAAACACTTTTAAGTCTCTCTTGACTTTGAAGGAAGAGATTTGTGCCCGGGATCCACTGTTTCGTGTCTTAATTGACATCACTTATATCCCACAAATAATTTGCTTTATTTCTTATTACTTAGCACACTCTTGCACAAAGATTTTTATGATTTTCCACACGTCTTAATCGTGGTACTAATGGCTATTTCACAGATATACAATTCGGTTCATATGATTTCTCTCGCTGATTTGCCAAATTTAAATCCTCATGACTGGATCCTCCTGAACAATATCTTGCTGACTAATCAACAAGAGTATGAACCTATGATTAATCACATCAAGCGAATGTTGGCGTGTTACATTCTTAAAGTCGCGAATATGGATCATGAGATTGCCTCTGCCGTAAGGAAGAAGCCCACTATCAAGCCAATTGGGAAAGCAAGTGACATCAACGTGATGCTGAAGGGTAAAATTGACCCGAAGTATCATACTGTCATGTTCACTAGAGGCGAAGGCCAAAAATGCTTGTTCGCTCTTGTTGACAAACACCTGTTCTCCACTTCTTGCCTGGAGTACATTCTCGATATCATCTACAGGTGTAATCAAAACAGTGAAGCTGATAAGAAGATGTTTTCGGATATGCTTCGGTGGTATATTGACTTTCGTCAAACTCTACTCGCCATCATTTCGATTCTGTTCAAGACTGTGAAGAAAACAACCGTTTCTCAACCGAAATGATCTCTCGCCTCAATTGACACAAAGGAGGAGATTGTTGAGTCTAACGGTTGCGCCATTGGGCTTTGGTAGTTAGTCCAACATTGTCACGGTATGGGCCTGTCCATCCGTGTTTATGATATTAGGGTTTAGTATTTATGGTGCATGCATGCATCGTCTTTTAGACGACTTTTGATAATTATCTCATTGCTTGCACTATAGCCCTAGTATACCTCTATAGTAGAAGTTCTTCATCGAGCTCCTCCGAGGTGTAGCAGTTTTAATCATTCAACATCTGTTTAATTCATTGTGTGTTCTTTCTTTTATTTACGTTCTAATTTGCTTGCTAAGGATCTAATCGATCTTAAAAGAGTTTTTCAACTCATCAAAATGTGCACCTAACGACTCACGAAAACTTAAATAGATCTTTCATTTTATAATCACAAACAACATGAGGCAAATAAATTTTTTACTCTCTTAAGCACTCGAAAAGAAATCATCAGGGCATTTTTGGCTGTCTAATCTCAGAAGCATCTAATGTTTCATGATGATCTATTAAAGCTTTGATAAATTACAACTAACTGATTCGTGTTGATGAGCATGATTCAAGTGGTTAACAGTTTAATCATCAATCCTTCAACCTGAATAAGTTTCTTGGCATCCTTCCATGTTTCCATCGCAAGCCACCTACATATATACTTTAAACTAAAGTCAAATGTCGTTGTCCAAACAATCTAACATTCGGTGATTTCCACAAAGAAAAATTCTTTGAAAATTTATTGACCAGGTAATAGGCATCCAAAAGAGCTCCTATTTATATAAAATAAAAAAAAGTGACTAACTTCTACTGTTGTAATCTTAACTTTCTTTTTTTCATGGAATTGCAACAATTTTTCATCAAACAATGATCAAACAAGATGATTATTTACTGTTTCATTACTTAACAAGTTGTTTGTCTCGTAACTTATCATTATAATGAATAAAATGATAACTGTATATTTAGCAACAACACTTCAATCACCAAAAATAACAAATGGCTTTATCTTCACTCGGTCAAAATTTTTTGTTAAGAATAATTTTTAAAACATTTCATTGTACAAAATTCCAAATATGTTATTAGTTTATAACTGTTTGAAACCAAACCAACCAAATAGTATGGATATTTATTAAGTCTTCAAAATCACATAAAAAGACACTTTGATATAAAAATTCAAAGAACTCATTCTTTGTTTCATTAATTTTCATTGAATCATCCAAAGGGTCTATCTATGCAATATATATATAATATATATATATATATATATATATATATATATATATATATATATATAGATGTTGGTTCCCTTGAGATAAAAAAAATTAGAGATTGTGAGATATGTGTATAACCGATTGATATGCTTATGTTTGTTTCTGAAACTATGCGGTGGCATATTTGTAATTATATTGGTAACTTATTAAACTAACGCCGTTAATTTACGATTGTGGGGCTATTGTTGTAATTTTACAAAGATTGATATGAATTTTGCAGGCTACGATACTGTAACCGCCTATTGTTTTCTTTTCTTTGTCAATCAAAGTCTCACTTCGAACTCTCAGGAAACCCTCTTTTTCTTTCTTTATCTCATTTTGCCCTAGTTTTCGTTTCTTACTTGTTGTTATTGAGAAATCAGTAAATGTCTTCAGGAGAAAATATAAACGAAGTCGCATCTTCGTTAATCGAAATGAAAGGTTAGAATGCGAGTTAGAACAATAAATAAAAATAGCTCAAGGAAGACACGGTCATCTTCCAAAAGAGAAAAGGTGAATGAGGTGTCGCAGACACGTTCAAAGACATCCAAAAAAAACAGTTATTGAACAACCAAAAGTGAAGCTGAGGGTTAAGGTCAAAATTGTAAGTAAGAAACGTGAACTATCTGATGAAGATGATTCAGATATTCAGAGTCGTCCTGGATCTTCAAAGAAACCAAAGAGAGAAACTAAAGTTTTGAAGAAACATAAAAAAGCTGTTGTTATAAAAAAATTTCCTTCATTGAAGAATAGATGTTCACCCGGGTCATTGTTGGGTGTTATTCAAGGTTTAAATAGAGAACAGAAGGATTGTGTTAGGGCTATGGGATTTGGGAGTTTGTTAGGGATGAAGATGATTGACGTACCGTTGAAGATTGTTTATTATGTTCTTGATCATTTTAATTTTGAATCTTTGAAGGTGGAGTTTGATAATTGTGAAGTTAGTGTTGATAGTAAGTCTGTTCAAGAGATGTTAGGATTACCATCTGGTGGCTCATTACTTTCAAACATGGATTACATTTCGGAGAATAATGAAGAGAGTTGTATGTTTGAGTTGAAGAAACAGTATGAAAATATTGATAAATTGAGATTGAAACAGCTAAAGAATGAACTTGTTCAAACTAGTGCTGCGGATGACAACTTCAGAATCAATTTTTTGGTTCTTTTTATTAATACTTTCTGTGAGTCTACAAGCATGGGTAAATGTAATCTGAATCCATTGTATTTAATCAGAAGAGATACTAATTTAAGTAGCATTGACTGGTGCGATTACATTGCGAATTGTTTGGTAAGGACGAAGAAGGTTTACAATCCAGAGAAAGAATCTTCTTTCTTTTATGGACCAGCAGCATACCTTATGGTACGTGAGTTATTTTTTGATATTTATTATTCTTGTTAGTTGTAAAAATATGTTTGTTTTTATAATAAATCATATATGATTTTATTACATATAATCATATATGATTATGTAGTATAATTTTTGTTTAACTATATATTACACATCAAAATCATATATGATGTTATATATGTTATGATGTTATATATGTTTTTTGTAGTTGTTGTATGTGGATACTTTCAAGTTTGATCATTTGCAAGTCACACGTAAACGTCCAACTATTTTTTATTGGACGTCAGAGAAGATAAGGTTTCTTGAGGATATTTTACAAGAGAGTGGAGGATTTGGATGTGGACATGTTAATGAAGCATATGTTGAAGAAGAATTTCAAGAATCTGAGTATAATGAGGAGGAATCTGGCGGTGATGAGATTGAATCTGATGGTGAAGAGGATTTATGTGATGAGGATGAAGAAGATTTTGATGTTAATAAAGTTAGTGACGTGGAGGTAATTATATAGTTTTATTCATTTATGATTTAATTAGTTTATTCATTTATGACTTTTTATGTTTAAGTATTTTAGTTGTAAGTATCTTTTTTCTTATGTAGGTGTATGAAAGTAAAATTTCATGTATGTATCAGAAGATGAGGGATTTGAAAATGGATCTTGTAGTAAAGATAGACGAGGGAGTGTTAAAGTTTCCTTAAAGTCAAAATTTGAAAAATTGGAAATTATTATTTCTTGTTGAAGATTTAAGCACAGAAAGTTTTGATTTCCATTATGTTTCACAAAAATATAAAGAACCGATATTAACACTTGGTTTTGTTCAAGTTAATGATGAAGATTATGGGAATGATTTTCTTAATGATGATGAAAATGTTGAAGATTATGATCAAGAGAAATGTTCTGGTGGTCAGGGGGATAGAAGTGGTCCACATGAGGGCAATATTGGTAAAAATCATGTTGAAGGTAAAGGTGATGATGATGAAGATGATGAACAAGGAAATGGAAGTGGATGTAATAAAGAAGAGGCCATGAATTTAAATTCTGTTTTCGAAAATGTTACTAAGAGTGTGGGTCTAATTGATAGCCAGGAAGGTGTATCTTTTAGTCAATTTATTTGCGATCCAGTTGTTGAAAGTTTTCTTAATACTTTGGATCAAGGTAGGCATATTTTATTATTATATATAGTTTAATCATGTATGATTTTAATTTTTTATATTTGAATTTTATAGGTACTGATGGTTGTTTAAATCAGAAACTAGTTGAAGATGATGTGAATTTGAATTTGGCTGGTATTGATGATGGTAAGTATTTATTTATGTATTTTTAATACATAAAATATATATAAATATGTTATATAGATGATTCATTTATGATTTTAACAATTTAGGGACTGTAAATTTGGGTGAGGATGATCATAAGAATAAAGTAATTTCATATCATAATGTTGATAAAGTTATTGTAGCAAAGAAGGATGGAGAAGGTGAAGATGTTGAAGATTGTTCAAATAAAAATAAAGATGGAGGTAATTTTTTTATAATTATTATTTATTCATATATAATTGTGTTTATAATTATTGTTTATTCATATATGATTTTTATAATTTTATTGGGTAGAAAATGTTGAAGATTGTTCAAATAAAAACAAGGATTCAAATGAGACTCGATCATTGAAAAATGATATTGTTCCAAGTTTTAGTCTTGGATTTAGTCAAGATTCTGAAGGTTCCAAGAAGTCATCTCAAAGTCAAATTTCTTCTAAACGGATGACAAAGAAAAAGATTAAGGATAGAGTTATTTTGGGAAAACCAAGTGCTGGTCCAGAGTGTGTTATTCCAAATGTTGATGTTATTGATGCTAGTCCAGTTTCTTTTGCACCCCCTTTGGGTACATTAGAAGGACCATCAAAACCTGTTTCTGGCAAACCTAAAGATATAAATGAAGAAGCAACATCAGTAGTGGATGCCAAAGGAAAGAGACAAATGAAGTTTTCTTATGTTTATAAGTCACCATTTAAGGAAAGGTTAATTGATTTTAAACCTCGTTTGTCACAAGTAGAAAATGTTGTTTGTGAATGGCTTTTCAATCTTCAAGGAAATCCAGGGTAATTTTTTTAATTTAATTTTTTATTTTTATAATTATAATTTTTTATTTTAAATAACATTTAAATAAATATATGCAGGGATATTGTATTGCTTATGGAAACATATGTTATTGGTTTTAGAGCTAATTATGAAAGTCTTTATAAAAAAACCCATTTGCATGTTAGTGTTCTTGATTCATGGTCTTGTATACTAAATCATCAAGAGAAATTCAGAGATGTTGTTAAATCTCCACTCAGATTGTTCATGAATTCTGAGACTGTAAGTTTTTATTTTATTCTTTGCTTTTCATATGTTGATAATCATTAATAATTTTTTTATTAAATATTTACATGTTATTATATAATCATTTATGATTTTCTTATATTACAGACTTTGTCATTTAAATATACTCATTTGAATGAAACTGCAAAATATAAAGTTTTCAAGGACAACTTCTCTCGTAGTGTTTCTGGTGATAGAGACTTGAAGGTTTTGAAGGATGTTGATATGGTATATTTATTTTTTGTATACATATATATATATATATATATATATATATATATATATATATATATTAATATTTTATTTCTAATATTATACATGTTGATGTTAGGTATTTTTCCCGGTTTTGAGGCATAAGCACATATATCTTATTGTTATGAATTTGAACAAATGTGCTTTTGAGGTTATCGATAATGGTGCAGATAATGCTGATTTCGATGATAAGTATGTTGCAGTTTTAAACCTCTTGTAAGTTTCAAATGATATTTATTCTTTAGATTTGAAATCATATATGATATGTTTTCAACCTCTTGTACGTTTCAAAAGTCTTTTTTGAAGTATTTAAAAGAGATCGATCATGTTAAAGCAAATGAAATGGCTGATAAAAATCTTACTCCAGTAAGATTAACAATGCCATGGAGGACAGTTTATAACAAAGTGGATTGTGGAGTTTTTGCTATGAGACATATGGAGAGTTATTTTGGAGAAAAAGGTTCTAAATGGAAATGTGGTCTTCCAAAAGAAGGTGGTTCTCAAGAAAAATTTTTGGAAAAGTTGAGAATGAAATATACAACAATAATTTTAACTTCTGAGATTAATACAAAGTGTGATGATGTGTTGAAAGCTGCATATGAGTATCAAAAAGTTGATCAAAAGATTCGTGGTAAGCATGCATATGATGCTCAATGGAATATAGAAAGAAGGTTGTCAAATTTTTTTTGATTGAATATTTTCTTATTGATGATGTTATAAGAACAAGTTTGTTTATGTTGTGTATGTTATGGATATTGTGAAGAATGTTTGTTTTTATGATGATGGAAAACTAGTTAATATGTATTTTGGTGGATTTTATTATGTAAGTTTGTTTGTGTGAATTATGTTATTGAATGTTAATCATAAGTGATTATGTTATATTTTTATATGTAATTTATGTTTTTAGTATTGATTATATGTTGCTTATATGTAATCATTAGTGATTGTATCGATTTTTTTTTCTGTTTTTGTAATCATAAATGATTATATTTGTTGTACAACACATTATAATTTATTATATCTTTTTCTTGATAAGTGAGCTTATCTTTACTGCATGGAATACATCACCATGCAAAATCTTATCTTTGTAAGATTTTAGTTTTGTTTTTTAGTGTTTGTATTGAAGAATCTTTTCTTTATAAATGAAAATTGATTGGTACAACCATATAGTATTTTTTGATAAGTGATTATGTTTGTATAAAGGGCATAGCCTCGTGCTACCCTTGTATTTCTTCAAAGATGAGTCCTTATACTTCCAAATGGTTAGTTTTGTTTATTAATTTCTTCAATTTTTATATATCACCATTACTTATTTATGATGTAAACAACTTCCATTTTGTTTCAGGTAAAATATGGAGTCTATAAGTCTAAAAGAACTAATTTTGCTGTACCTAATAACATGTTCCCCATTTTTTCAAGATTCTTGTTCTTTTATTTGTAGCTAGATTTTCATACAGATTGTAGCTGACTCCAAGAACGCCACTTCCACCATTACTTAAAAAGTTTATCTTCATTGAACATATCAGATCTTTACTAGATGTCTTTGAAGTAGAGGGATGTTGTTCATTTAAAGAAAATTTCAATGAACAACATTTCTCTACATCAGATATGTAGTAAGATTTTGTATGTTCAATGGAGATAATCTTTCTAAGTAATGGTGGAAGTGTTCTTGGAGTTAGCTACAATCTGTATGAAAATCTAGCTAGGAATATGAAAAACAAGAATCTTGGAAAATGGGGAACGTGATATTTGAGACTTGTGAAATTATTTGTTATTGAAGACTTGTGAAATAGGGATATGAATATTGTTATCTTTAGATTTTTTATGAGCAATGTTGTATATTTGTTAGGAACAATGATGTTGTATATGGTTATATGTAATGGTTAGATGTTTTTTATGTGTAACCATATTTTTAATCACTTATGATTAAACAAAACATATGAAGTAGTATTACATAATATTTTATGATTATATAGATGAATATTGTATATGGTTATGTGTAATGATTACATGTATTGAATAACAGTTTATATGTAATCTTAAATGCTTGTAGTAACATTTAATAGAAGTTTAATCATGAATGAATATATTATCAAATCAAAGTAGATTAAATACAATAGACAAAATCATAGTAAATTCTGTTTTATAAAAGAGTAAAGTGTACTAAACAAAAAGTATATTAATTTTGAAAAAAATTCATGACTTATTCATTACTGATTAAAGCAGTAAATATCTATGTAGCTTTTGATGATTGTTTTGCTGCAAGTTTGATTGGGCATGTCCGCAAGTTATGAGGAGCCCTTTCTCCACATCCTGAGCATCTTCTTGTTTGCTTGTTTGAATTTTTATACGCTATTTCTGCTGCACTTTTGAATTCTACTTTTCTTTCCTCATCCTTTATTGCTTTGAACATTTGAAACATTGATGTCAATGTCTTTTGGAATAGATATGCCCATAAGCTTTCCTACCGCTTCAACATCTGTCCTATTTTTCTGCAATCCATTTGTAGGATCGTTTTCATATTCCTTCAGCATGCTTTCTGTTTTCTTAACAAACAAATCCATTTTTTCTTTATTTTTTCTTACGTATTCCAAACATGCTTCAAAGTTGTAGTATGCTTGATTGACAAATCTGTTAATTTCACTGTCTCCTGTATCATATACATGTCTACCAAAATTATAATGCCTTGATATCACATCCTTTCTCCAATGATTCTCAATGTACTGTTCAGGTATCTCCTTAATTCCATGTTTCATGAGTATGTTGAATGCATGTCTGCACAAAGTCCCAAAGCGGTTGAAGTGTTCACAAGTACATTTTACATCATTTGTTGGAAGTTTTATTTCTACCTGTTCAAAATAAAATTAAAGCATTAAGTGTTTTATAATCATAACTGAATATTTTTTTATATTATGTGTTGATTCAACAAAAATTTAAAATAAGAATATATTACCTCAAATTCTGTTTTTAGATCACTGTTTTTGTTCAGTTGTTCCACTTTGTATAACTCCCATCCATTTTTTGTTCCAAAATGTTCGTATTGGCAGTACCAGGAACCTTTATAGATTTCTTTATGTACTTCATAAAACAATGTACTTGTATAAACTTTTGCAGCATGTTATTCAATTGGTCGTGGTGAAATAAATTTATATACCGCCTTCTTTGTTTGATGATCAAGCTCTTGTTGTGTATTTCTTTGTTTTTGAATTGCTGTGTCATAGTTCATCAGGAAATGTAAAAGTAAATTTCCAGATTGAGAGTAAGTTTTGAAGAAGGAATTCATGCTTTCTGATCTTGAAGTGGTTTTCATCAATCCAGACATTCTTGTGTGACTGAAGTATGCAGGTATCCATTTGTCACATAATTCAAACATATCATTGAACCATCTTTTTGTTGGATTAGGTGTCTAAGTTCATAACTATTCTGGAATGTACTTGACCCGATTAGCATGGTCCATTTGGGTTGCATGGCATCATGCATTTGGATAGACCAAAATGAGTGAAATAACACTTAAGGTTTATTAATATATTATAAGTTCTAATATATTAATAATATTATTTAATTAGTATTGATCAAGAATTAATTTGGAATTAATTAAGTGATCAAAAGAAGACTAATTAAATATATGGGTTGATTGTGTAAATCACCCATACTTGTATAGTGGGCTAATGCTCCATGGATTATCAAGTTGGGCTAAAACCCATATGATGCTCCATGGTGTCTTTGAACCCATGGATCATGGAAATAAAGAGCCATGTCAAGTTAGGGTTTACATGGTGTAACCCTAATTATGACACACTATATAAGCAACATGTTGTAGACCAAAATCGGCACTAGTGGGAGAACAAGAGGGCATAACTGATTTTAGAAGTGTTTTATTTCTCTCAAGGTTATTCCAAGTGTATTTGGTGTTGTGTGATACATTTGAGGCATCACACTTGAGGTGCTAGGCTCACAAGGTTCTCAAGGAATCCAAGCAACTAGAGGTATGTATTTCTTACTATCTTTTCTGATTAAAAGTTCCCCATGTATGCTAGATAGGTTAAGAACCTTGGAAAATCAATTTTGCATGTATCATAGTAAAACATAGATCCAAGGTTTCTAGGGTTGCATGTACACCTTAGGAGTGTTAGAATGCTCAAAACCCAATAGTGGTATCAGAGCCTAGGCTTGTTTGCTTGATATTTGATGCAAAATTGTGAAAAAAGCTGAAAATCTTGCTGTCTGGACAGTGGACTCGCCGAGTCCATGGGGGGACTCGACGAGTCCAAGCACAAACTCATCCTACTCGTCTAGTAGGTACATATACTTGACGAGTAGGAGCCCCAGAATGTAGTTTTTCGACTTTTGCTGCTGGAAATGGACTAGAAACATTACCCTAAACTGTTTTGGTATTATAAAACTTGTTTTAGATGGTGTAATGGTTATGCTAATCCATTTTCAATAGCTATTATCAAAATTTCAAGTTTTATATGGTTAATTTTATGATTCTTGAAATTGTTGATATGCTTGTTCATGAACTTATGAGTTTAGAAGATCATAGGAATTATTTGTAGCTTACTTGTTAGTTTAATTCTTGATCATTATGTGTTTTAATGGAATCCATAATTTGTCCTCAAGTTATGGATTACCAAAAGTCACTCTTTTAAAGTCCATTATTAAACACATAGGTTATATAAAATGAAAAGTCTCTCATTTTATTAAACCATTAACTCATAAGTTATGAAAGATGAAATGTTTTGAAAGTTACAAAACTTGCCCTCAAGTTTTGGAACATGTAAACACTACTAGAATATAGGCCTTTAATGACGCGTAAACCATGACACGCAGTGATTTACGATACGCAAAAGCGTGTGCCCTAAAAATAATGTCATCTCTTCAAAAATTTGAAGGATTTAGGACGCGCATTTTTGTGTGCCCTTAAAATTAGTGTCAGAACAAAAAAAACACGGAGGGAACTCAGCATAAAAAGCGTGTCGTCTAATCATGTCGCTTTATAATTTCTAAAATGAACGCGCGTTTAGACTATTTATCTTATCCAAAAAATCACAGGGACCATTTTCTAGGGTTTTGTCAATGAGGGCTATCTACCACGTTCTACATCAACTCTCCTCCTGAAATCTTCAACAACGTTCTCTACCTCGAATCACCTCCTGCCGGCGATCTTGACTCATCTTTTTCTGCATCGCCAACTTCTTACCTTCCCATGGTTCGCCAATT